TCCAAATAGATCTCTGTATCATATTTTTCAGTATACATTTCCAGTTCTATTATATTATCATATGCCTTTGTATATTCAAAACAGGAATATTGTAACTTTAAAACTAATATTTAAAATTGTTTTTACATTCAAAGCAGAAGCTTGGGACGTTGATATTCGGTACCACAGTTATTACTTTTTGTGCTCATTTCTAATCTACTTATATTTTTATACCTCTTCTAGATGTTACATTATCCCGGAACAAGTCGACAAATAGCATTAGATGTGGCTCACACACCCCAGTTCGTTCTCGACATGTTTGAGCTTCGTGAGGGTTGATTAGGTACTAAATCGTATACTTATTGTAAACAGGGTAGAACTGAGGAAAATATTTTATAGTTCTAAATACATACTGTACTTATAATGGAATTGGCTCAAAGAATCCTCGAACTGTAGATGGAGAACATTTTGCGCTATTATTGAAAGTCTGATTCCCTTGACATAAAAGAAATGCTGGTAGCTGAATGACTCTTACTACTAGTTTAGTACGGCTCAAATTGTACTTAGATGTCACTTAAATAGATTTTTGTTTTTTATTTATTTTTAATGATTCGTTGATAGCAGTTTGATAAAAACTAGGACTTTTGGAAATGTCAATAGTAAAAAAATCAAGTTATTAAGAATAATTAGTTGAGATTCTGTACTTTTCTCAATTCAGAAATCGGCAGTATGACTTTTGAAATAATATAAATGAATCGAAATCACACGCGCTTGTAAAATTCGAAACTCTACGCCATCTGCTTTTAAACTTACGGGCAGACTGAGAAGAATCGGTAGGAAACTCAGCAAGGGCTACTTTTTTATTACTTATTTATTTCTTTAAATTTCATTGCACAATTAAAACGCCGATAGCTATTGGGCATTCTCTACCAGTGACCAGTAGAGTTACGAAATAGAAAATAACTTTATTAAAGTATGAAGTCACATTCATCATAACGTTAAAAGAGTTTATTTTAACAAGTTATTAATAAAAAGTTTGAAATCGATTCCATTTTTTAAAGTTTTTATCGAATCATTCGTCTCGCGTCGAGCGCTCATTTTCTATTGATTTTTGTTAGACATTCTAATGCACGACTGCTACGATTGGTATAAACCGCTTGTCGTTTATGAGTGGTATAATAAACATCAAAATATGAAATGAATAAATGACGTTTGTGGCGTTTGTGACCTTTTTGTTTACGTTCACACTTTTTTTGTTTATATACCTAAATGACAAAAAATATTTTCCATAGAATATTATGAGAAAAGTTCAAAATTTCGCATCATATAGATCACCCTGCAAACGAAAGATTCAAAAATACTAAAAAACGGCAAAAAACTTAGGGTTTATATGCAATGGAGTTCATAAACGAGTGAATCAAAAATAGAGCTTCTGATAGTCAACACCCTTATATTAAATAAGAGACATAAACTAAAATATATACGTTACTGATTCTTAAGTTACAGCAACAATTTGAATAATAAGTTCTAGTGGTCATTGTTATTCCAAAAAGCTTCTCGTGTAATTTCTAATACACTTTTAATTAGTTGGTCACTGACTGTTGATATTTCCGCTCGTTGTTTCTTAACGTTTCAATGACGATAGGGCAGAGGGTGTCATATTTCAGACTACGAAGTTTATCGTGATCCGTTGAGTTCTAAGAACACGATTCTCTCGAAGAAACTTAAGATAAGCCTCGATTTCGGGATACCATTAAAAACTTATTTGATTGTACAGAAAACGTTAATGTTAAAACAGCTGTTTAGACAAAGAATAATGTTTTAATAAAACTCATCAATGTATATATCGCATTCTACATTTTTAAATATCAATCATATCAAAAATAATATCCATTTTAATACTGTAATAATTATTAAGGCTTTAAATTCTTCTCGATTTGGTCGTACGTGTTCTAATGATATACCTTTGCAGGTCATGGACATTTTTTTTAATTTACTCTAGATTTACTCCAAAGGGGCATAAGTTATTATTCCTATAAACAGGTTAATAGTATAGTCTGGATATTCATTACTATCTGTTTTTCCGTAAAATAATGTTGTATGGAAATATTTTATTGACAACTTTATTCTTTTTAATGCATAATTGGATTAATTGCTTTGAAATATGGGATAGTATGTGACTGATAGGATAGTATGTGTCGAGTGTGCAGGGTTAGATGGATATTATATCACACATGTGTCAGTTCTGAACTTTTGCTATTGCACACATCAGGCTACCACAATACGTGTGTCGAATTTCCTCAAATAATTTTGAACTCTACCTAAAATATATTAAGGTATTAAAACAAGTGGGAATATTTGAAAGTTATGTCTACTCTGGTGCTGTTGATTGTAAAAAAGAAGTTATATAAGTAATTGAAAATTAAATTACTAGACCTTCCTAGCATAATTATTACCTTCTACTACTCGATCAATGATATCTTAATTTACTATAGAAAACGTTAAGTTTTTACCCACGGTGGGAGCTTGGGACTACAAATCAAAATTAAAGCGAGCCATTTCAAGCACAAAAGGGCTATGTTGGCCACGTGACCGGCGCGCGCCTCTAGCCGAGCCGCGCGTGCGCACAGCGCGCATACAATAGTTATTTATGCTGGTCCTTCGAGTCGGATTAACGGTTGATTATGCACGCTCCAGATTCAGGAAACGCTTAACGGGCAACACGGGCACGGCCGCAACTCGCCATTGTTTGCTTTTATACACTTTATGTTTGTAGCAGGCAGATAGTTCAGAGTTCTTTAGTTAAGTAAGCTGTTCCTGTTTAAATGTTATGTTCCTCTAATATATAGGAATTTAAATATCTCTGTGATATTTTTGCTCAATTTTAAGTTTTTAGGAACTCTGTTGTTGTATTTTTTTTACGTGAAATCATGAAATTCCAAGTAAAAAGACTAGACATTATTTTAGCTTACTACTGTAATCCAAAAACCACCATGCAATTTTTATTAGAATATTTCATTATAAAGAGAGGTAAGCAAATTCACAGAATATGTCGAATGTTATATTAAAATAATTATCAAGAAGAATCTGAATACTTCTTTTATTAAAATGATTGCTTTTTATGGCTTACGAATTATTTTTAAAAGATATAATTACCTGAAACACAGTTATCGTCAATGCAATACCTGAATTTTATGCATGATAAGTTTGTATCGTTATTTTATATTTTCTGCTGTTTTATGTTTGAAGATATTTATTTGCATATCTTGAAAAAAAAAAGTTTAAAAAAAAAGGTTAAGTAACATTGCGCACATATGTTACCTCAAGTGAGATTAGATTGAGTTGAACACGAATTCTTCTATAGTATTTAGATAATTTATAGTATACTGAATACTTTCAAACAATTGTTTTCTTTACGTGTGTTTCGCAAGATTTTGCCAAATTGTAGTTTGATTTTTTGTGTTACCTATTTTCTTTTTCAGTAACATTGATAACTAGTGATGGAATAGACATAAACTTTTTTCTATTGAACAGAAGTTTTCTGTTCTGTGTACGTACAATTATCCTAGGTTTTAAAGATGAGATTTTCTATTTTTTTATGAGTTAAAACCCTTTTTCAAGTAAAAAATATTGGAAACGTTATAAGAATATCATTAGCTTGTGTATGGAGGACTGTACAAAAAAAAATATTTAGCTAACATTATGTCGTATATAAAATTTAAATAAGAAACAATAGTGCTGAAGGCAGTGCTTTTGTTATGCTTGATATTTCCTAGATGGGATACAATGTTGAATTTTAATTAGCTCAGAATAGAAGAGGGGGACGATAATAATGTCAATGACCCTTATTATGTTTTTATGGTAAAATATATGCCGCGCTATTGTTGAACCTTTATGGTTAGCAATATATTTAAATTTTGCTTTGTAACATAGTTGATTTAAACCAAATCAAACCAAAATCAGTTACCCCGTCTAGGCTGTTATATAGCACTTGTGAAAGTCGAAAACTTCGACAATAGTTCGCAAAACTACTTAAACTCCTAAATTTATTTTAATGTTTCTCCTAATAAATTATAATAAAGCTTGATGAATTTGAAATCGACAAATTTTTAGGTCACCCAAATATTCTGTTCCAAAAAATTAAAACATAATTTATATATGCTTGCTCGAAAAGGCACTTAATAAGAGGGAAACAACAACAATTCTTCTAACACCTAAATCGAGTTAAAGATCGAGTAAAAACAATCAAAATCTTATCTTATTATGGACTTTCTAACGAAGATATATTAATTCTGGTAAGAAATGCTCCATTAGACAGGACGTAATAATAATACTTTGTTAATAATACCTCTATATAGAAATATCCTTCGATGTTGTTCGACGTTTGACATTGAGACGATCTTGTTGAAGATTTGGAAATGACTAACGTCTATATTGACCTTATAGAGATATACGAATCCCGCTGTGAACATTTTCTGGGGCATTTATCACCATTCTAATAAACAGGGCTCTGCGGGTATCCCGTTTATTGGATATGCATTATTGTTATAGCTTTGTGGTAAAAAAACATACAAGACACAATTTGAATATAAACATGATAAATAGTTGGAATTCCACGTGAAGTGGAAAGACAAAGAGAGTTAAAATCTATTAGTTATATGTTATTTGTGGAATTCATAATAGGTTAAATGTTTCTTAAAGTAATGACAAGATGCTCTAGTATTAAGATCATTAAAATGGCAAAGGGGAAAATTAACATTCTGCTTTTATTGTATCATCATCTTTGGTAAGTGAATGTCGTATATCTATTAAATTATTAAAATTAAATAAACAAACCAAAAAGTCACTGGTATTAACATGAATGTTTTTCCTTGGACTTCGATGTTATCAACAGAAACTTGTTTATCTCCGTTGCGTGTTAAGATAACGTAAGTCAACATTCTTATAGCTTTTTTGACACAAGCCTCTAACAACGACACATTGTTAGTCAAACAGAAAACTTTATGATATAAATATTTTACCTGCTCCTTGGCTAATTGGAACCACGTCTTCAAAATGATTGGTAGTCTTGTATATTGGTAATGTTTTGTTGTTTTAACACTTATAAATATATCATCTAAAGTTATGTTTTTATTTTGTAAACTATCGTCTATGTTTGTTTTAGTCACTGGTTCAATTGATAGATCTGACACTTGCACTGTTCCAGGGCGATTTTCTTGAGAGTTAAAAGTTACTCCGCCTTGGTACACCAATAAACTGCAGTAGCCTAGAGCAATCAGCACAGCTGCTGCTTTAAACATTTTGCGCCCTCCCATGCCGGAGCCGGGTGGCGCCGGAGTATCGATAAGCTTTCAGAAGTCTTAACGTTTTGTCACACATCTGTTTAAAGTTTTGTAATCAAAACACTACTGATAAACAGCGTATAATAACGTCCGAGCGGGCGAGCGGCGCCCGCGTCGAAGAACGGTTACAAACTAAATAAAAATGTAGCACAGACAGGCGGCAAACATACGCCTGCGCATTACCACCCCCACCATATGCTGTGAGTGAAAGATCCGATGGCGCCCTTCTCGTCTAGCGGCAGGTCCTACCTGCGCGTGCGACGGTCTGCCGCCTGCACCGTCGCCGGCAGTGATACTCATGTCAATAGCTCACGTAATTATTCGGTACAACTTTGAAGAATGCATTCTCTATAATCATTTTTAAAACTAATATTGCATGATATCTTCTTTTGAAAAAGTTTATATGTCTCAACCAAAAAAAATATCTACTGATTAGAGTTTTATTGCTCAAACTATGAAATATTGGAACAAATTTTATCAGTACATATATAGAGATTTTTAAGGTATTAAAAATGGTTCCCGAAATCAGACTAGATGTCGTTACTTTACTTTCTTGATTTCTCCGTGACAACCTTTCTGGTTTTCTTTCATGTATAAAAGTAAATTAATTTTCAAATTCGTATTTGTATTAACATCTAAGTTTTGAACTTTGAAAATTTTAGTTTTTTAATATGTTAGTTAAAAGGAACGGAAATTATTATCTTTGGTCCATTCGTTTCCTGCAAAAACAAAACTTTTGGTAGAATCGCCATCAAGTGAGGTGCTTTTTAGTACTTCCTTTTTTTTTCTTAAAATACTTCCTCATTGGCAGATGAAAAAATTAGCTCAGCCGAGTTGATATTTTACGAAGTTTCCCCAACAGTGGTATCATTATCGAAACCTCCTGTGAACATGTTTCCAATTAAGGCTCAACATTTTTCCTTATTAACCAAAAAGGCGTGATGTCTACTTCCCGTCAATATACCATCGCGTTTTACTTAGTCATTCTCTTAATTTGTTTCCATTGGTGGACAATACACTTTTGTTACCGGACCAACGCCGGTTTCAACTCGCGGAGCTCCGCAGCAGTGGGTGGTAATGAAATTAAGAGCCAGTCATTGTTGCATTAAATTCCACTCAAATTAGATAATAAGAGATGAAATTGCTTGCCCGGTCGGATTAATAGCATCATTTCTAAAGTTATACCGAACGAAAAACTATTTCTCACAAAATGATAAGCGTTCCTGGTAACACTTAAAAGGTACTCTTATATTATTAATGTTTCTAATTCAGCTATAAGTGTAGATTTACCATATGGATATATTTCTAGTGATTGTATCAAATTTAAAGATAATTACAAACACGTAATTATTTGTTTGTATTACTCCTTTCTTTTCTTTCGTTGGATATCATTTTCACGCCTAATATGGTGTATGAATTAATGATTTGTTTGTGTACTGTTAAAATTAACGCTATTGGAACAAAATGCATAATTTTAATGGCACAAATAAATAAATCGTCGATTAATTATCCCAACATTATTTACATCGATCAAAACATCATCGCTCCTCTAATATATTTCAACCATTAATTTTAATGCTTCCCATCATCGACATTCGGTAGTAAAAATTGGTCATGTCTAATCGTCTCAAACTGGATCACGTTCGGTTTGTGCCGCGTTATTTTTTAATTAGAATTTTCCCATTCTGATCACCCAAAGAAATCTTGGGTAACGGTCCAACTGAACATTTATTAATTTATATAGTTGTATAATGTTTTTTTTTTATTGAAATTTTATTATTTTTACCGACTTATTCCAAAGTGATCGTCGATTTTGTGGAATAATAGATTTTGGGTTTCAATAAATATTGCTAAATATTGAAGCATTTGTAAACGGTTTCAATTTCTTAAACACTACAAAGAAGTTGTAGCCATTTATACCAAAAAATCTTAATCAAAAAAGCTTAGTGGACCAAGGTGGCCATATAAATTTTATTGAAATTGGTTAAGCAATTATTGGTTAAGCCCTTTTATAACAAAACAATGACATGTTTATTTCAGCTTAAAACAAAAGATTGTGTATTTTGCATTCGTTCAAAATTCGAAAGGAGGATTTTCTATGTCCAACGAATATATCTATTTATTATGGAAGTAAGTATGTTCATCGATTTCTTCTTGAATTGTTATCCAATTTCTATTAAACTAGCTGTTTCCCCGCGACTTCGCCTGCGTAAACTATAGCCTATATCGCTGCGTATTATGTTGCTTTCCGTAGATGAAAGTTTTTTATAAATCGCTCCAATAGTTTCGGAGCCTATCCAATGCAAACAAACAAGCCATCAAATCTTTCCTTTTTATAATATGAGTATCGATGATTCGAAAAGTTATGTCGAGCAAATAAACAAAACCTCCTTTTTTAAGACTAAGATAGTGAACTATGTGAATATTTTTATTTATATAGATAGTTAATATTTTTAGTATTACCTATTATCATAAGGTTTTTAATTTTTTTTTAGTTCAGTTATATTCATTTGATTTTGTACAATACATTGAAGCCTAATTTTTGTTAGTTAAATTGCAATTTTCATCCAAACCAACAGTAGTTTCAACAAACGTTTTTGAGACTTAAAAGTTTTTCTATCAGAATATTATTTCTATTACCATCAATAATTGATGTCTTCAATTTTATTTTTAAATTTGATCAATTATGCATTCATTAAAAATATTTTTCAGTATAGCGAATGTGAAATTGATGAAGTATAATAATTATAATAATTAGAACAAAATTTTCATCTTTATCGAAAGATTGCCTGAACATTGATGAGAGTACGGTCTGTAAAAGCGAAGAAGTAATAAGTGCTTGAAAGATTCCTTGGGCCTGTTAGCTTAGTGGTTATAGCAGTCGCCTGGATAGCGAAAGGTCATGGGTTAGAGTCCCATCTCAGGGTGCCAAGGAACAAGTAAATTTTTTAGGCATTTTTCATTTCAAATATTCGATTAAGTTGTTAGTGCAAACAATGTTTTACTGTCTTCTACATATTGTTAAAGCCAACAATTCACACAATTAATATAGCAAAGGAGAAAGTTCTATTAGGTATAACAAAACACGGCAACTGCCCCCACAGTGCGTTGTGTACAAAGACGGTATCCGTTAAGTGCTGTGTATATGGTAGCTAATAATCGAGTGTTAGTAGCGAGAAAGCTAAACCGTATCGTCTAATTGCGGAAGCATGAAGTAATGGGGATCGCACACGCCAATACGCAGACCGTGGGAACAATCAGCATGCATGGCACCGAAAGATGTTCTGTCTATAGACACAACGTCCCACAAATGCGTTTGTTTCATTAACGGCGCTTGCTCATTGATTTGTTTCATCAAATTATTTTTTTTACATAGCATTTAACTTGTTGTTAAATGCCTTCGAGTTCCCGAAGTTTCTCTGTCAGTTCTTTAGTTAATTACTAAACCGTGAAAATGCGTAACTGTACTCGGATGCTTGCTAATGTTCATTTTGACGTTAAGGAATGAGAAGTTTTTTAAGAGTTGAAATTTTATCCTACAATTTTTTTACAAATACAATTATTTAGGTGAGAACAAAACCATAATTGTTTTCAACATTCTAAGAAAGATCTTAAAAGCTACGCGGTATGATGAAATAATTTGTAACGTTACTTGTTTTAATAGTCAAAATTTAAAATGTGATTATCTTCATAGTATCATAATGTCAAAGTTAGTTATTGTATTATAGAATTATAGCTAATACTGGTTCAAAACACAAGTCAAAACTATTCCATAGTTGTTCATTGATGCATGACACGCCAAGTGATGCGTTGTTAGTTGATGCCGTAGTATCACCTTTAATATCTTCGTATAAACATTCAAGTATGGGAGTGCTTAAAAACAATTACATCGTTTTATAACCACTATGAATATAATCCGGTTCAGTGGATCGATTGAATTGGACACTCGTGATTGCTATTTACAGACTATAAAGAGTATCTTCTCAAGTTACATTGACTGCTATGGATTGAACATGCGGTTGTACTGTAAATATTATTTTCTATTTATAAACAAAAGAATCTTTTCAGTTTTTATTGGAAACATTTTTTGGCTCTAACAAATAAAAATGCTTGGATTTCCTAAGTATTTTATTAATTTGCGGAGTCGAAAATGTATCAAATACTTTGATTGGTTTTTCACCCAGCCTTTAGTTTTTTATTAAAGATCATCAGAATAGAATTGTGAAATACAAATTCATGAAATAATAATAAAGTTTTAACTTCGGAAGAATTCAATATCTTTTGAAAGCGTATGTATGGATAGCTGTAGGTTATATGAATTCATTGAATTATGCATTTATAATACCATGTGGATTTTGCTGACTTTAATTCACTTGTATATTTTAATTACATATATGTTTCAGTTAACTCGTTAGGGATAATTAGTCGGATATGACTATGAAATTGTGTTAACACTTTCATCCCATACATTATGGTATACAAGCTTATGAAAGTAATATTTGATGACTAAATTATTTTGACAAAAACACGAAAAGATGTCTTTGTTAACGTTTTGCACCATCACCTTTTTTTTGAGTATGAACATCATAGAAGTCTCATCAACCGAGACACGCCCACTGCTGTGCATAGGCCTCTCCCAAAGATTTCCTGCGCCTCCAGCGGCCATAGAAGTCTGACATAATTATATTCGTAATTGTTCTGGTAAAAATGTAACGATGCTCATTAGTGGACGCATTGTTTGAAATGTTAATTACTTATATAATAGCGCGAATATGAACCCCACGGCAAAACCGCAAGCGCAACATTACATATTGGGAAAATGGTAAGCCAGTTAATAATACATATTAACTTACAGCATTTTATTATAATATTTGATCAATTTTGCATTCATAATGCTATACTGATAAATATTCTTTATAAAATATGCTTAAAAATCCAATTCAAGCTGTCGCCCGGATTGCGACAGATCTCTATAATATATAATTATCACAGAAAGATACACAGAAATAGAATATATTTTTTAGACTGTGCTTATCTTTTCATTAAATTTGCAGTATATTATTTGTGTTTACAAAATTTAATGAACAATTACATTTTGCAGCGATATTAAACCATTTACAGGTTTCGTCCTCGTTAGACTGAGATATCAGATAAGTATTTAC